ACTGCATCATGCCCGTCTCACCTCAAGCATTGACTGACTCAAACTAGATTGGTATATTGCTTATTAAACTGATTCTTCTGCAAACAATTCGCAGTTCAAGACTAACACTACTAGTACCCCACCAAGCGTTCACAAACAAATCAGCCCATCCAGGACAAAACTACAACAATTGATTATTCTCTCTGACCAGGGCGCAGTAAAGTCCGACCAGAATTTCATGGTCTTTGTCCGGCGTGGTCCTTATTATTGCCCTCATCGTGGCCAAAGCAAAGACCACAGCCTCCCTCCAATGAAGACTCTTGCTCATCAAAGTCTCCAGCCGCTCCAAATTGTGCGATGGGCAGCCTCAGTCACCAAAACTTAATCACAACTGACAAAGCATGCTGCTCTATTTCGATTAAATTGAATTCAGTCGGAAATCAAACAAAAGACACATAGTGAACTGCTGCTCTTAATTAAAGTAAGCAGCCCTTCTCACTTTGTTCCACAAAAAATTCTCCTGACCCATCAAGCATGGGCATAAAGTGTTCCGTGTCCAACTGAATCAGTGTTGCAGAACCGTAGATGAACTGGAACACATGGGGTACGACCGTAGCGCCAGGTCCCCATTCTTAGCTCACACAATTGGCCAACTTGAGTTTAGTCATTGTACACAAACACCTGTACTGTACATATTTGGCCTGTCTAAAACTGTGGTTGTCTAAGTTGCAAGAACACTTATTAATATCTTTTCAGCATGATTGTGATCCTTTTCTGTTTCAATGGTGGCAAAACAATTTGTCGATGATTTCAATGAGACTGTGGCATGAAAGAATAGGTGCTGACTTGATGAGGCACTGCTCACAAACATTGTGATTTAAGCGTTCACTGTCTAAAAAGTCAAGTTTTGGAAGAATCATACATACAAGCAAATAGACCTGATGAATTCATGCAACACACGTTTTCAAATGAGTCACATTGATGTCAAAATCTTCTTTTGAAGACCTGATATTCAAAAAAAGAGTTCACATTGATTGGAGTCAGTGCCAAACCAAATTACACTTGCAACTGAGACTCCATTTCCACGGGTAACATCCTCATATTCATGGCCCGACCCATAAATGACCAGCTTGAGGCCCGGCAAACGGCATATGCCATTAGTCGTCTTGTTCATGATCTTGATTGGGTCCATCACATTGTCCAGCTTATAGTCCTTCGGCCCTCGAATCACTTCCGCAGGATCCGGTTCCATGGCAGCGATGCCGATTGTCCAGTTGTCCAGTTGTAGTGAAGGTTTGTCCAGTTGTCCAGCAATGGTTTGTGAAGGTGAAAGTTTGTGAAGGTTTGTTGCTGTTGATCTCAACATATTTTCACATGTTGCACTACTTCATGTTGCCATATTTCAATTGACCTAACTACCTTTGTAACTCTATGCTATGTGTTTTAGGGCATCAGGGTCTTCTGGGAATCTATGTCGAATGTGTGTGTGTGTCTGTGAGCTGCTGGGTGCCTTCTGACTGAGCTGGCATCCTGATTGAGCACATCTGTCTGCAAACATGAAGGTTTCAATGAACAAGTGCTGACTGACTCTCAAATGTGAATGAACCTTTAGCTTTGAATTGTCAATGCAAGCTGAAATGAGGTTGTCACTGCTGGTTGCAAACTAGCAGCCTCTAAACAAACAACTTCTGTCCAGCTGCCCTCCCATACTACCCTCAAACGATCACCCAAGTGCACCTCCATTGGTCCAGGTCAAGAGCTGCCAGAGTCTGGCCTCAATTCAGTTGACTTGAAGAGAAACATGCCTAGTTGCAACCACAACCTAATATTATGTATGTTGAAAGGAAAAGTTAACCAACCTAACAGAATGGTTCATTGACAAGTGTGCCAGAATAAGCAAGTGCCTGAGTGGTTAAATTGTTGCAAAACTTTACTTTAGATTGCTCTGTCTGACTCACTGCTCCTGAGGTCCCATGACTCAGTGCCTGCACCAATTTGGAACCTCGTTTGGAATTCTGCAAGAGGGGACAACACTCAATCCTCAAGAGGCCACTCTAAGACAAGTTGTGGCATGACTTGTGAATGTGAGGGATTCTGACGACAGTCACAAGCCACTCAATGAACCAAAACAGGAATGTGCATTCTGCTGTTCTGACTCCCTGATTCCCCAATTTAGTTTCAATTTGCAAATACAAGACAAACCCAATGCACAATCCCCTTCTTTTACTGAAAGCGATTATCAATCTGATGATGTCCGACTTCAGGTTGTCTGTCCGGAAATCTCAAGATTTCGTCAATGTCCTGGCGAATGTCCGACGAATCGACCATCATGTCCACCAATGACTCTACTCGATCACAGTGATCAGCCTCATAGCCACTGCTCGCCGCAGGGTTAGGCCCAAGTCCAGGAGGAGGTGGAGGCAACCAAAGCGATGTGGGGATGTCCAACTGCTGCTCCGTCAACAGAATGTTCAAGGGGAATGGGACCAGCTTAAGTCCATTGGCCAAGAAGACAAGAGTACCTTTGCCCATCTGAGGATTCACACAAACTGAGTCAGTGAGTAGTGACATTTCCGCTGACTGACTGACTTTCCTTCAAAAAACAAATGACAAAAATAGTTAATATGGCCCAAGTGAGACACTGTGTTGTCCTTCCTGGCGCACACTGTAAAAGTCCGGCCTGCGGAATGCATGCTTTGTCCTATAGGTCCGGCCTCTGTATGGCACCAGCACCTCTTGGGGTGGCCCGACAAGTAGCGGTGGTCTGCATACTCAGCGAAGTGGTACTCTGAGACCTGGTCCCTCTCACAACCTGTCCGGCACATCACCTCTTCTGCATGCTCAACAGACCAGTCCAGCAAACGAAGCCGCTGCCGCGTAAGGAGACGGTCCGACGCAATCCTGAGCTTTTGAAAACTTTGCAATCGTATATAAGGTGTCAGTGAATTGAGGGCAAGCATGTTTCTATGGCAGGAACTTTGCATTCAACCAAGCTGCCTTAGCAAATTGTGCTGACTGGCATTGTCCAGTGGCACAACAAATTCGCCTGGTGCATAATGCCTCAGCCATCAGGTTGGTGCCTGATTCTCTGTCCCTTGAGCATCTGAACAGTCACATCAAGTAAACTAGACAGAAATGTTTTAAAAAGATAACGAAACTGATGAAGTCAATGATTTCCAGCAGCCAAGCAACTGGAACCTGCATTCATGTGCTTCTCATGTTCTAATGACAAGCGCGCCAGAAGAAGCAGGCACCTGAGTGGTTATATAAATTGTTGCAACACTTACTTAAGATCGATTCAACAGTTTAAGCAAGGCAATAAATTGATTTTTAGATGCGCCACATCAAAAGCATAAACTTTAAGGTATTGCAGCTTTAAGGAAAACACATTATATAATGGCTGTGAACGATGCTGAAACAGCCAAGGTTCAAGTCCGGCATGGTCATGAATCGCCGGATCTGCTCCTCGGAGAAGTTCACATTGCACGCTGCAAAGTATTGCCTGCAAACTGATGGAGTCAGCTCCACGAGGCACACATGTTGTCCTGGCTCAGTGGGTGGGTCCGGCTCTGTCCACTCTTCTCTAATAAGAAAAGGCCCATGTGCAAAACGGCCCGTGTGGTCCGACGCTTCAAAAACCATACTTTCGGCTTGGCCCATGTGCGCTGCCCGACAATGCAATGAACTATTAGTCCAACCCGTATGCTTGAACCTGCTGAAGTAAGTTGCTGGATTGTGGTATAAGTAGTGGTGTCAAGATATGCATGTATATGCAAGATGTGCAAACATGTGATGAAACACGGTGAAACACGATCTTTTGTGCTGTTGGCGATTGACATGTCAGGTCTAGTGTGCTGTGGAAAGTGCTAGCATTAGACACTGTGTACAAAAGCTGAACTATACCATAGAAGAGTCAGTTGGTTGCAGGTTGCTAGTGGCGTGCAATTGTCCAAAATGTTGGAAACTTGCAACATCATCTGTCTTGAGGCAAAATGACACTCCAGCAGAAACATTACAGGTGTCACAAGTTGTGCCAGGGCTCAACAAATACAAAAAACAACCAAGTCAGGTACCAATCATCCCGCCCGCGCACGGCCAACTGTTACACTTGACTGAGTCTGAGCAGTCCGGCACAGCTGGGAAAAGGCGCTTCAATTTGCCCAGGAGATTTGCCTGAGTGACCCAAACATAAACAGAAAATGATTGAAGTGAGACTCTGTTGATTTCTTCCATTCACTGCTATTGACGAAGAATGATCCACCAAAGATTCATGTACAATTCTGAACAAGGTGTTGATTTGCAAGCTCAAAACCAAGTCCGACTATGATCATTGTCGCTTCCAGTTAAGTGCCAACGGTCTACTTATTGTCAAGGTTCTAATTAAACAGCCTAAATATTGAGATAACTCCAGCACACTTTCAATTGCCAACTACATATCTGACTGTAGAAATGCAATCCTGAGAGCCAGGCTACCTCGTGATCCAAGTCCAACCACGAACTTTCAAGAGAAATGGCAATAATAAGATACTCTCCCTGCGAAGCTGCCTGAATATATTTTGCACTAGAAGAAATGATCCAGCCCATTGAAGTCCGACGCAATATGTCCGACGCAATATGTCCGACGCTGGAAACTTGATCAATATTGACAAAATTTGACATTCAACAGCCCTGAAGTGAGGACAAGGTAGAAGCAGGTGGGTGGAGAAGTTTGCTGATATGATATGTGTTCTCAACCTTTAAAGGAGTGAATGCATCATTTGTTGGTTTGAAGGTGTTGTGGCTTCCCCACGCTACAGTGCACCAGGAATACAATGCACTGTGACGCCACATGTATTGTGCCTGTGTTTTACACACATTGGATGAGGAAAGCCAAATGCATGTCAATGTAGGGGACGAAGGGTCGGATACACGGCGCTATATGGAAACATCCAGCTGCCGCCCCCCAGTGTCCCCCTTTCACAATGGGTGGCAATTTCTGTGCCATGGATGGGGTGTTGGCACACTACAATGCAATAGGATAGTGGTGGAAACCAAGTGCAAAACCAAGTGCAACACCAAGTGCAAACCAATGGCAGTGTACACAAATGGCAGTGTACCAATGACCTTGTACACTGTCTGCATACACAGTGATTTCCAGAGACATCCAACTCGTGCCCCTACTAGCCCAACATTTGAACAAAGGCAAAAAATTTGAGAACATCAGTTGCTTAATACAATGTTCCATCAGCTCCAATGAAAGCTTAGTGGAATACTAGTGGCAGTGCCCAAATTTTTGATAAATTAACCTCTTTTTTTACTCACCAACTTTGATGTTTTTGATTCACAATACATGTGTATGAATTTTGGTCAACTTCCATGCTCTTCCCTGGTTACTTGCTCTTCCCTGGTAATCGTGCCGTCTGACCCATGGCATCAAGAGCGTCCAGTGCGCGGCGCAAGTGGACGTTGGCAAGGTGGAGGTTGGTATTGTAGTTGCGCACTTGGCGATGGAGGGCTGGTGGTAGTGCGTCTTGGAATGTTTGGTGGAGGAGCGGTGTTTCTGTGAGGGCGGCGTTGGTGGTGAGGTGCTGGTGTAAGGTGAAACGATGGAGGTTGAGGTCAGTGAGTAATCCGCAAATGATGTGGGGAGGATCTTCGTCGTACACTGCTGCCCAAAAAGAGGGCTCACTGCTCTCATCTGGTGGCTGCGGCAGGGTCATGAGGGCGAATCGCGCAGGCGCAGAAGGTTGAGCGTGAACAAATGGCTGCGGTGAGGCAACGTGCATGAATGGTGCAAGCTGAAAAGCTGTGTGAAAAGGATTGAAAATTGAAGAAAGCGGCGATCTAGTATTGGTGAAATAAATGAGAAATGAAGACCAAGAGTCACACTCGCCAACCTATGGTCCAAAGTGGCGGAAGTGTAGGCCGGCTTTTTTGAGTTTGGCTGTGGGGACGATGCGGGGTGAAACGGAGGGACGCTTGGTCCCCCGGCTAAGGTGGTTGTTCAGCCGTAAAGTTCAAGGCGCTGTCATGTTGGCTGCCGCGGCAGTAGCAGCGCTGCGAGCAATGCGGAGGATAGCATTGGTGAGGTGGTTGGCTTGGCTTGTTGTTCGGTGAGAGGAAAGGTGGAAGTGGTGGAAAAAGTGCCTGTGGTGCCGGTTGTGGTGGTGGTGGTGTGGTAGTTGGTGTAAATGCCGGCTGTGGAGCAGGGTACGGTGGTTGCATGTTTGGTGGCTGATGGATCGAGGAGCTGCGTGCTGGTGGCGTGTAGCGGGTTGAGGTGGCGGGAGTATTCAGGTGCTGGTGGATGTAGCGAGAAAAGTTGTATGGCATGATTTTGCCGTCGCAACGTGGTCTGGGAATCCGGACCTGTATTTGGCGATGTGTTGGAGAAGAAATGGGGTTGTTGCTGCTGGAAGAAGGTGGGGAGTGAAGGAGGGAACGAGCGAGGGCAGGTGGAGGGACAAGAGTGGTTGCCAAAGGTGGAGGGCGGACTGGAGGCGATCAGGTGGCTGCCCGGGTCTGGATTTCTTGAGAATGGGGACGTTGGTAGTTAGGATGACTGGATCTTCGGTGCTGGTGGATGTGGCAGGCGATGGTGGAGGTTTCGGTGTTGTGATGGTCTTCGCTGGCTGTAGTGCTCGTGGCTTGTGGGAGGTAGTGCGACCGGTGCGGTTGCGATGGGTGGGAGGTGGAATTGGTGGTGTCTTTGGTGGCGGTGCGGCTTTCTCGGTGGCGGATGGTGCTGGTGTGTGAGCCACTTCTGTTGCAGTGTCTTCAACCTTGACTGGTGGAAGGTCTGCCCGGGGTTGAGTCGGGTCTGATAGGACTACGGTCCCAATCCGGGGACTCAAGGTGCGTCATGGGACAGTCGGACAAGAAATGATCAGCGCTTGGTGGAACAAAACGGCTGCAGGTATGCAATGAGAAGGTGTCATGCTTTGATCATGAAAAAACAAGTCTAATTACTGAAAATTGACAATCATGCGAGTGATGAAAGGAGCCAGTGACGTTCACTTTTGATCGAACCGTGTTGGTTGTTGTCTGTGAGACTGAGATCTAAAAGGATTGGCCGGTGTGCCGTCGCGGCGGGGAGATTGGCCAGGTTGCCGACGGTGAAGACGAGCAGTGCAGTGTGGTGGTTGCCGTCCAAAGAGACTGGTGGAGGTGGCTGCGGTTGGTGGGAGTGGGTGTGGATGTAATGTCAGAGAGTGGGCTGCGGTGGCTGATGTGGAGATTGGGGTTGTGTGGTAATGCCGTGGTGTTGAAAGGGGGTGGGGGAGGCTGCCTGTCTCGCGAGCGCGAACGCTGGCGGGGGGCCAAGTGTTGAATCAGGCTGTGTTGGGGGGAGTGTGTGGCTGGTGTGTTCAAAGGCTGGAGGGGTGGTGTAGAAAGAAAGTTGCAAGTAGCTGATGGTGGGAACTTGGCTGACGGGTCCATACGATAATGGCCTGGTGAGCCCGGGGAACCGGGCAGGAACTGCAGGAGACGGATGCCACGGCATAGGTCAGAGTTGACCGTTCCCAAATGGCGAAGATTGTTGCGAAGTTGTAGGTAAAGTCGATATGCTTGCTGGTCTGTGAAAGAAGAGGGGTAGGGAATAGGGTCAGTGACCAATGGGTGGTTTTGAATGTCTGTGACAATGGTGTTGAGGGTGGCAATCATCCAAGAAAGTAGCAAAAGCTCGGGCTGGTGAGTGGCTGAAGGTGCTAGGTAGGGAAGCGGGTTCCCCGGCAAGAAGTAGCCAGCTGCTGGACCTGGACGGGATGTCGGCGGAGGAGGCAAAAGGTGATGGCTCCATAGCCATCGGTGTAGTGGCATCCGAGGGCGATGCATCGAGGCGTTCCGGCATGGCGACAGGCAGATTGGCGGGTATGCTGTGGCCGTGAGATCTCCAAATGCTGCTGAGGAATGAAAAAGAA